ACCCACGCTCCCAAGCGCACACGGCAGCGGCCCTGCAGCGGCACCAGCGCCCACGCTCCCAAGCGCACACAACTCGGGAAAACCTGCAGCGGCACCCTGCAGCGGCACCAGCGCCCACACTCCCAAGCGCACACGGCAGCGGCCCTGCAGCGGCACCAGCACCCAGGTTCGAAAATGCACACACGCAGTTCTTCCTTCTTCTTGAAGTAAGCACCCCAATAGTTCACGCTATCTGGTGAAAAAACAACGTTTTCCATGTAACATACGGCGTTTTTTACACCTCCACTTTTCTAGCTTCAAAAGCTTCCAAAATATGTTTTTCACAGTTTACCGTAGATTTCATGAGAATGCCTTCCTTACTTCCAAAAACGCATTTGCGCCATATGTTATAACTAATGAGTTTTGCACCTCCACGTCCCTCATCCAAACCATTCCGATGCACACCTTAAAGACTTTGACACGTGTAGGCTCTGCAGGCACTTGGCACTATCAGAAAGGGCGCTTGGCACTTATTTCTAAGCTTGTAAGATTGACACTTGACACCATGGACCTCCTAAAACCTGTTCCCATACACTCCAAAAACGAGCTCAGTTCACAACAGCCAACACCTCCCAAAACCACTGCCACCAACACAAACGTTGCCTTCCCGGCACAAAATTGTAGCCCATGGCGACCCCAAACCTCCCACAAAATATGCACACACGGCCAAAGCCTCCCAACAAGACGCCACAACTGTGATAAGAAGGCCTCAAAAACCTACGTCCCCACACCTCAAGAACCTGTTTTAACGCTTTACAGTAATTTACACTGTTTGTTGCGCCTTCACTATTCGAGCTTCCAGAGTCTTGAAGAAAACAAATTTTCATTATTCTCTGCAATTGAATGCGTTTTTGCCGCGTCATTCCTGAAAACCATGCCTTCCAACGCCTCCAATGTTTTTGCACTTTCACGGCCCACAAAACTTGTTCTTACAGCACGGCATCACATCACTGAGGGCAGGACACTGCACATCCACCAGGTCAAATAAAGCAAAGACATTTAGCAGAGGACTCCAGAATCAAATCCACGACATTCCATCAGTACCCTAAAAAATGAAAAGAGTATGTCTGCACTTGTGCTTCGGCGTGCACGCCCTGGCTGCCTTCTCACAAACCAACACCAAAACATAAGTGGGTGGGACACCACTACAACAGTTTTGGGTGGAGAAGGATAACCATCACACCAGAAGTGGACCTCGAAGGTGCAGGCTCTGGGTGGCTGGGAGAAACAGCGCAATAACCAGGCCACGTCAGAAACCTTTGGTGAAGAAAGAATGGACAACTTGATCTGACAATGGCTGGACAGGAAGGAAGATAGACATTCAGATGGTTGCATGTGAGCACGATGCTTCCTGAAAAGTTTTGTAGCAACAAACGCACTTTGTTGTCAGCAAAACTTGTTCTTACAGCACGGCGTCACATCACTGAGGGCAGGACACTGCACATCCACCAGGTCAAAAAACCAAGACATTTAGCAAAGGACTCCAGAATCAAATCCACAACATTCCATCAGTACCAAAAATGAAAAGAGTATGTCTGCACTTGTGCTTGGGTGTGCCTGAACAGAAAGCCCCTGGCAATGACAAATAATCGGGCCAAATCATCCCAGTCATGATCCATGGCTGCCTTGACAAGACAAAGGACATGTTGGCGCTGTAGTCGTGGGAGCTCTGATCGCTGTGCATCCTTGCGGGCGCCCCGCATCAGCTGCTGCCAGCTCGTCAGTGGAACTGGCAGGGGGCGCTGAAGGATGCGCAGGAAAAATCGAACGTGACGTGGCCCAGGTATTCCCTGAGTGTGTCAGCATTTCGAAATTGGTGGGCAAATGTTGCCAACATCTCCACGCTCATATCAAAAGGATCCGAATATGGGAACAAGCCTGCGGTCAAAAGTCCCCATGCCCAAATGCCTGAGCGGACGCTCTTCCAGGACCCCCTCATGGATGACATCATGCGAATGGCAGCTTCCAAAGCCAGAGCTCCAGGAAAGCGCCATATATCCAAGGTGAGAAGCCATCAGATGTTGCGTTGGCGGCTTGCATGGCGCAAGCAACCCGCAAACGCTTGGAAGGCGCAGCATCCCAAGCAGCAGGGCCAACTACTGGCCCACCAGGCCCGAACCATGGCAGCAAATATTCGCAATCTACCGCTCATCAAAAGAATGGATGATGAGGGGCGAAGAAGATGGTCGGGAGGCCAGATCCCGCTCCTGGAAGAAGACCTCAAGAGCGACCCCGGCTCCTGCAGCGGAGATGGGACCCTGCAGGGCCAGCACCTCAAGCCAAGACCCTTTGCGAGTCACGGCCGCAAAGTCGCACCACTTCATCCGAGGCCCTCCGGCAACATGAAAGACAGATGGGGGAAGGAAGCGATGTGGACTGTGGGACAAACCATGGATATCAAGGGCTGTCTGCCGGCAGCTATGAAGAACAGGCGTGACTCCAGGGAACTCGACCATTAAACGGGCGATGGCTGCGTCAGGCAACTCAGCTAGCAGCACAGCAACGCCAAGGGTATGGACAACTTGATCTGACAATGGCTGGACAGGAAGGAAGATAGACATTCAGATGGTTGCGTGTGAGCACGATGCTTCCTGAAAAGTTTTGTAGCAACAAACGCACTTTGTTGTCAGCAAAATCTGCAAATCAGGGCCCATCCCCACCTTCGCCAAAACCAAAAAGAAACGCACTTGCATATTTTACAATGTCTTTTGCACCTTCGCTACCCTCATCCAAAGCCGCCAAAGCCTGCGAATCAGAGCCCCTCCCCACACTCCTCCCCATACCTATGGGTGAATACTTTCAAGCGCTCCAAGCACTTTCCCTCATCAGCAGGACCAGAACCTGACAAATTCTTGGTTTCAAAAATAAAAGACTTGGCGCCGCGGCGCCGCCATTGCCTTTTTCCTCTTCATCGGTCCCACGTCCACAATTCCCAAAAAAGGCTTTCATCTCTCTCGCATTGGGCAATGGCAGTCTCTGCGCAGATCTTGCGGCCAACTCCTCGGTCTCATCGCCCGACTCCTCCGTCTCCTTGTCTCTGTCTTCATCCTCTCCTTCCACAGCTTCGAAGATGCCAGCAAGGCCACGGCGATGGGGGATCCCATGACCACCTTCACAGGGACAATTTTTTCATCAATCTAAGCGTAAAATTAGGGCAACCCTGTGACAGGTGGGCGGGCATGACAATCCGAATTCCCGCAAAAACAACCACATCGCCGCCTTGCCATGTTTTATGCTTTCCTTCCTTTGATTGGCCTCCACACTAAAAAACCTGAGAAGTGAGTGAGGGAAAGCCAGCCCTCGTAGACGCTCAAAGCAACGCGCTTTACTCAAGAAGGTCGAGCAGGTGATGTGAGAGTCCCCAACACTCCCGCACAGACCCCCTGATGACATCCACTTCGTTCGCAAGATTCATTCAAAGGCTCGAAGATGCATCTGCCGTGTCCTGCTTTGTCCAATGCGCTTTAGCTGGAACCCCCCCGCTTCGCAGAGGCGCCATTCTTTGCTCCGAGACCTTGACATCTTTTCTGGAAAGAACTTGGCGCTGTACTGAACCCTTTTTCCAGACGTGCTCTTATTGCTGCGCAAAAGGGCGCCAACAAAAACTCCTCCTTAAGGTATGTTCTGGCGAACTTGGTGCTAGTATTTCAGATTCAAACCGACCGCCAAAGAGCACCAATCCAGAAAACGTGCCCCGTTTTATGGAGGGTTTTCTCCCCGCTTTATCGAGGGTTTTCTCCAACGCGGAACTTTGGCGCTAGCACCCCTAGACGGCCCTAACACAACGCAAAAGGGCTTTTCTTCGACTCTCTGCATCCACTGTAGATCTCGGCGCATGGCCTGACTCGACGAACAGATACTGGCATGAGGGCTCTCGACATATTCGCCAAGCCATTCAAAAGATGATGCAAAAGATGCTGTCGTGCCCAATTCATGATGCAAGTGATGCTAGTGTTTCCTACTCCTGCATCACTCGCGTCACAATGCCCTCAAAATACTAACCATTTTTGTCGCTCTCCCCCAGCAGGCTCTGGGCTCACCCCTTCCAAAACCTGATCTTTTTTGCACGCTCTCCCCCAGCAGGCTCTGGGTTCACCCTTCCAAAACCCCATCCCCGCCCACACCCCCTAACGCTCATTTCGTTTGCCAAATAGAACTTCAGCCTAGCCTGCCGGCTGGCTTTCGTGAAAATATAATAGCAAAATATGGGCAAGTCTTTTCCTTGTGGGGGTCATCCATGCTGGAGTGTGCTGAAAGCGTCAACGGACCCACTCGCCTTTGGCCACTGCCTTTTCCAAGGCAACAAGATCTTCAAAGGCCCACTGAAGATGAGGTGACAAACTGCTGCAGTAGTAGAAATTCCTGAGGTACGACACAGCCACGACCAACCGCGGTTCGGGCTCTTTGGGGTGGGACGATGTGGGATGGTTGCAAACAAGCGTGTTGCATTGCGCTGGTGCGAAACTGCCATGTTTGATCCGTTTTGCTTGCACTGTGGCTTTACACATCCGGAAGCATTCTTTCTACTTCTGTGCGCATTGCAGGAAACGAAGATCGTTGTCAGCAAGATAAATAGCGCTCGAGAGCATGACTTTTATAGAGCCTGACTTTTACCATCCCTATCTGCAACCTCCCTGTACAACCCATGCTCGACAAGAAGAGTCTCTCCTTCTGGCTGAGGTCTCGCTCCGGGTTGGATCAGACATCCAAGGCACTCTTTGGAAGGAAAGCTTCTTTGGAAGGAAGAGGGTTAGCCCCCTCAAACTTAGCGTACGCCCAAAAGAGCCGAAGCAAATTGAAGCTTAATGTCCGAAAGGTCACTTGGAGTCTAACAAATTGCTGAATGGAACACTAAATTCAGGATTCAAGAATTATGGAGCCCTCGGCACAATTCTACGAAGCATACGATTCTCTGCGCCTGCCAATCTAAGCCTTCCAGCGACCCCACCATGCAATCTGAGGACGCCTGGCCTCTCTGATCGCTTCCACCGACATGAAACGAGCTTGCTGCAAAGAGTACGCGATCGCAATAGCGATCGGGAGCGTGATCGCCCCCCTGCAAGGTCTGTGGCTGCAACCCGGCGCCGCTAAAGCACACCGATTCACGACACGAGGCCCCAGGAACAGCCTACAACTGGAGCTTTAATTTGAGAGAAGGCTAAGGCTAAGGAAGCTGTTCTGCAATATGGCAGACCATTTTCTTAACTCAAGCAGAGCTTCAACTTCAAACGTTCCAGCTTGCTCAGCGCTTTCAAAGCTTTTAGCAGCTGAGCGCCCCCATCAAGCACTCCCCGGCAGTGAGCAAAGTTCAGCTTCAGATCCCGCCTTGCACTTGATTTCATAAGCGGCTTTTCTTGCAAAAATTGCCTAGAAAGAAGAAGGATGACCCCTTTTATGGGATGCTTGTCGTTTTAGGAATAACGAGTGGGAACTGATCAGGACGTTGCCAATCCATGCGAAAGCCGAGACCAACTGCCGGACAGCTGCAAGTCTTGCAAGCCCATGAAGGTCTGCCAGAAGGATGCAGGAACTTCTAGACGGGGGCACCTGCACGTCAAGCTTTCTGGCGGGTGAAGGATGAGCAACCTGGATCTTCAAGAAACTCTGAAGAACCTGGATACCCATGGCTGCTTTAGGATCCCCATAAAATGTCCAAATTGAGCCACTTGCTTGTGAACTGCCAGCTTTCATGTCTGTTAGTTCACTTCAAATCTGTGGGTGCTGTCAGCATGCCAGAGTCTTGCAAAGATTTGGTTCCAGTCTTCGAAAGTTCCTTGCCAAGATCAGAATGAAAAGGCTTACAAAATGAGCAGCCCGTTCGAAGAACGCAAAACAACCAACCCCAATCACAAGGAACATCAGGAAAGCCAAATGCTCTCTTCTACAGAATCTCCCTACCATAACTATTCAACAGCATGGCAGCACCTTGGGAAGCACAGCTCCAGTTGATGCAGGCTTCTGGGCCAGTTCGAGATAGCGATTGACTCAAGATGATGGCAGCTGCTGAAATCAAAGGTCAAATGTTCCAGGGAGCTGCTTCCCAAGCCCTCCTGGTAAGAATCAAGCCATTGGAGCGACCAACCAAACATAAAATCTTGGGCACCCTGAAAGTTGTCCCTACAAATGCAAGAAAGAGCACATCAACCCGTTCACTGCAAGAAACTACAAGTCCCCCCCGTGCTAGAATTCCATCTTGTTTCACTTCCCAGAACTCTCCTGTAGCAGGCCGAGGCCAACCAGCGGAAGCTGCCCACCGTAGAGACGAAGCTCTCGCAGTGGAGACGAAGCCAGGTTCATGTCGAGGGCTGCCACGTTGCAGCCTTCCACCTTTGAAAGGAGTTGTCAGGAGAACGTAGAGGAAGAAGCACTCCAAATCAAAAGTATGGAATCCATGACTCCTACGACACATGGGCCATGACTCCTATGACACCTATGACATGGCAACACCGACCATGTTCAATAAGTCCTCAGGTTTTGGCAACACCGACCAGTAGTCGACCGGTGTGGACCCCCCCCCGATTCGGAAACCGTCTAACCCGGGCGAGCAGGTGCCTGATGCAAGCCAACAAACGGGTTCCGAACGCCACAGAATCAACCAACCAGTGGGATTGCAAGGGACACAAGTCTTTGAATTGAGGATTTCCTCAGGGTCAGCTGTGGGGTGGCCTCCGGTTCTTTGGCGAGCTTCCCCTGCTTTGAGACACACCCTAATTATGGTCAGACACGTCTTCTCTCTTGCTCGCCTGGAGCGTCAGGCTTCTCAACTGTCTCAAGCCTTGCAATGTGTCTGCGAAGCCCCGCAAGGAGCGGAGCTCTTTGCAAAAGGCGAAGTTCAAGTCCTTGGAAGCACTGAGCCATCGGGGGAAAGGAAAAAACTGGAGAGGACGTTGGAGGTGAGGAAGTCTGTCTTGCTGGAACACACAGAAGAACAAAGCAAACACCCAGTATGCACCCTTCCAAAAAGACCGGAGGTGGATATACCTACAGTGACGCAACCGCCTAATTGTTGCATCTCAGCGTCCAAGTGAGCGCAGCTCTCAAGCCTCTGCAAGTTTTGCCACAAGGGTGCCAAGTCTGTCAGTGGGCATTCCTCAAAATGCAGCCTCACATGCTCCAAGCCACTGGGCAGGCAGCTGGCCATCTGCTCCAAGTGTCGGTCCATAAAGCCCTGCAACCCCGAGAAGTGCAGCGTCAACCGGCGCCTGCCGCGGTCGCTGCGCAGGGCGGCGCCCACGGCCGGGCCCAGCGGAGTGTCCAGGGCACGGCGCCAGGCGGCGAGGGCGAAGATCGAATGCAAGCGTTCGTCCACCTGGAGTGGTGTTGGGCGACTTCGACTTCGACAGCAGAAACACTAAAAGATGAGCCAATTTCAGCCCCAGCTTCTTTCCAGACGGCGAGGTCTATGATTTACAGTATATGAAAAGTCCCATCATACGTCCAGTCTGAAGCCCGACATCTTTTGCCTGTGAACTGGGAGTCCTTCACATACCCTGCCTGTGAATACGCCGGATGCTCCAGGTCCGGAATCGAGTCCAGGTCTGGCTGGCCAGCAATAGAATTCAGAATCCGTCGCCGGTCCTCTTCCCGACTGGCTGATGCTTGAGAGATGCAGATCCGAAGACCTTCCTCGAGAAAAGAGCCGCGGTCCGCGCTGAAGGTGCCGAGGCAGAAAGGGCTTTGCTCTGCTAGATTCGTGGATTCGTTCAACTGTCTTCAAAAGGACTGAAAAAAAAAAAAACAACAACAACAACTTGGCGGTGTAAGTAATGCATGTCTTTTCCGCTTTGAACGTAGCAACCCCAATGCGCTGGGTCAGGAAGATGTGCATGTTACTGAACAATATTACGCAGCACGCACCATCTCGTGTTAGTCGTGGCTTCGGTGTGTTGACGGTGAAAACACCGTTCTACTGTACCCTTCCACCCTTCCACCCTTCCACCCTTCCACCCTTCCACCCTTC